TTATTACTTTACACTGTTGTATTTGTCAAATGGTGGTCCTAAATTCAAATATCAAGTTATCGGTATAGCCGTCACGAAATATCAACAATTCAATGTTATGTTTTTATGTTCTCTTGTCTCAAACTTGTGATTTTGTTTTTGAAATGATTTCTTGCTTTCCAACATTATGGTATTTGATGTATTGTCATTACTTACACCATCCCTCTAGTGGGCAGCCCTTTAACCCGGTTAAAAGCCCTTTATCCATTACATCGGAAGCGCAAAATGCAACACAGGCAAAAAGGTGCAAGACAAATTATTTTCCTAACATCAAAGCATTACCGTCTAGGAAAAGGCAAAAAGAGAGAGTTGGCAAATAAGGGGATTGACTTCCTTTAATGCGTTCGTTTACCTCCTAGCACTTAGGAACCACATACTCTTACAAAAGCCATTTGATTTACTGCGACGCATTTTTCAAAAACTTTATCTAAAAAATCTGAAACGCCAATGTTCTTTAATCTATATCTAGATAAATGCTGGGCACTAAGATGAACAAGAAAGTACACCATTTGGTGCTTGCAGCAGTACAAATAAGGCATTACATGTATTCCCTTAACATCAATTCCTAAAACATAATATATAAGATCAAATTCAACGCCGTCTCTCGGAGATTGTATCATGAAAATCCTAGGTTTCATCTTTCGATGCATCAGATACCGGAAGCCCCGTGAAGTAAGGAGACACGGCAGCCAATTCCGCGTAAATTATGGGTCAGAGAGAGGAGCAAAATGACACCCATATTAGCGGAAGTGAGCATGGCTAGGAGGTAAATAAATGACGGGGTTTACGATCAGAAGGTGCCCGTAATCCCCGCCATCTATACGGAGCATCATTTGCGAAGAGAAGCAACGATAACCTTCAGAATCTTCTTCCTGCAGCACCGCTAAAGCGCACTTTGCTCTTCCTAATAAAGGCCATCGGACAGCTTCAATTGAGTATCACATTAATAGACGAGGAAGGGTCACAGGAAAGTGTGCGGAGTTATGACGAAAAGTCTTGTACTAGAATCAAAGACGTGCTCTTCAAGTAACAATTACGAACTGGGTATGATGGACTAGTTTAGACTTAGAGTCCTCAAAGTGGCCTTCGCCAAGGCGTTTATGCTTTTCTTAGCATGTGTGTGTCACAGTGTGTGTGTGTGTGGGAGGGGGGGGCGGTGTACTTGCATTGGTTTTTGGTTAGGTTATGACCTATCCAAGACGATTAAATTTTGCACCCCTTGGTGCAAGACAATCTTTATAGATTGCAGAATCAAAGCCACAGTTTCTGTAGCTATATTTGCCTCTGTAGAGCCGGCATAACCGCCCTTCGGCGTAACACACCGGCTTCGCGGGCACGCGGCGCGGCGGCAGCTGGCTTTATCTTCAAGTGTCAATGCAGATGTCAAGAAATCTCTGCGCTTCATCACAGGATGCTGCCCAAATCTGCGGAAAAGTTTGGTGAAGTGTGAAAGTACGGGAGAAAGTTTATCAAGCACGCAACCGGGCAGAAAGATAAGTCTGGTCTGATCCATATGAGACTGTCTTCCCTTGGGGCTGGTGGTAGTCTCTTCCACTGCTCACTGTGTAAGGCCTAGAAATATTAATGTTGTGTTTCCAGTTTCAGTCCTGAAAAAGTGGAGTCAGTAGATAGGGATTTGATTTTCATATTCTTATACATTTAGATTAGCTTTTTTTTTAAATCTAGAAGTCTATGACTAACACCCATTAATAATAATGGCTGATGGCTCAGACGGACGTTATCATGGTTCAAAGTTTACGACAAAAATACACCTGCAGTTCTGAGAAAAGCCACCAGGAGGCCCAATATGTAAAATTAACACCGAAAAATATCATTCTTCAAGTTTTGCGATTTATATACATATAGATTACGATTTATATACATAAAACAAATCATTTATGTATTTAGCAATTTTATATAGAAGAACTGCTTCGTTAAAACGTGTTCCGAGAATATATATAATAATCTATTTTGATTTGAAATGCAACAGAGACCTTATTTACTATTTTTAGCAGAAACTTCAAGTCAATTCATTTACCCGGTACGGATATATGACCTGCAACACCTTGTTTTCCCGTTAAAGGTCACCCGTCAGATACTTCCGTACTGCTACTCGCGAAGGAAGGACAAATGCGATTGAATTTGAAACCACGTCCTGCTGACGTCATAAAACATTCGATTAAAGAGTGTCTGTGTGATTTCTAATGTTCGGCATCCCTGTAATATTAGCCAGCACAGTTGTCAAAGTAACAAATTTTATAGTCATATTTCTCAATTGCAGTTGCGATATATATGGTTTCTATATATATGGCTCCTTCCAACTCAAGTTAAAACTATAATTTTTATACTTACCTTTTGTAAAATTTAAAGCTTGGTAAAATCTGGCTAATAAACAAACAGTACAGTGTAGCGTAGCAAAAGATGATTTCATTTATCTATCTATCCACGGCAGGGAAACATGCGAAATGTAGCTCTGACATTTAGTTAATATACGATCCTTTCTAAGTAGTCCATCCACCTGTATAACTAGAATTTCACTTGCCACGTCAGCTTGATAGGAACTACGTACATAATTTATGCACGGTGAGTCATTCTATATGTCACATTTAAAAGTTTATTTTGGACTCAGGCACTGGTGAAAGGTATCGGATACTATCTGAAGCACCTGAAGACTCAGAGAATTTATTCAGTTGCTTGATTTATTCTATATTATGTAATGTTCTAAGTGAATGTCTAAACTTTACGGACGTATTAATTTTGGACCGTTACTGTACAGTTATTTAGTGATGATTATTCAGTGATTCTACCTTCAAGCATAAGCCTGATTTCCAAGGTGTGGTCTTGATGGCTTAAGTTAACTTAGACTTAAGAAATAGTACGTATTTAAGGTGAACTTTATTTGAATTGACATGAATGTTTATTAACTCTGTACTTAATGTTGCGCCTGGGATTTTTTTCTATCCTTTGTGATTTAGAAGTAAAATTAAGAAGGTCATTGTCATCAGCAAGCCTCCCTTGGTACAACAACTTGACTTAAGGTGAAATAATAACTGACTTCCCAACTCCCTCGACTGCCATCAAGTTATCAGAGGAATCTCTTCCCCTTATTCCAACATCTCGATGGGAACGCAGTACTATCGATTTGCTGATCATAAAAGTCATAAAAAACATCATACAATTCCTCAGAGTTACTCGATTGTGATTGATGCCTTTTTTCGACGTTAGGAAACTTAACGTGCATCAAAATACATCACCTTTCGAACAACACAGGTCTTTAAAGATTATGTATCACATCATTATAAACGTATTTTGCTTTATCCATTGACGTACACACATCCCGTGGTACACAGGTTTTACACAAGAGGAAGCTGATTAAAAACAAATCGATTTCTCACGTTGATTTTAATGGTTTATTTATCTATTGGTTGATCTTCAGTATACATGGGTAGTCCCTTCAGCTAAAATGGGGTGATACCCAAGGGAGCCAGGTTAAACAATATAAAAGAGGTAATATACATTTGTAACATGAAATGATAGTTAACATAGGCGGGATATGTAAAACAAGCTGACTGCTCCCGAACTTTAGCCAACCTTGGTCGGCTGGTGTTCGGGGGAAGGTTCTGAATGTGTGGCAGGGGCTTCAGCCAACCTTGGTCGGCTGGTGTTCGGGGGAAGGTTCTGAATGTGTGTGACAGGGGCTTCAGCCAACCTTGGTCGGCTGGTGGTCGGGGGAAGGTTCTGAATGTGTGTGACAGGGGCTTAAGCCAACCTTGGTCGGCTGGTGGTCGGGTTACCTTTGTAGCATGCAAGTCACCCCAAATTATAGATCGCATCGAGTTAGTATTCCCCCGACCCGAATGTGCATTGAACCTCCGAGTACGTCGCCATAAGTAGAGCGGACGTCCCTTCCCTTGATGTACAATTCGCAAAGGAAATCTGTATTAGAAGCAAAGCAAAATCAATCTTAGTTCCAACAGGCCCGAATTCACAATATTCTGCTCAAACCGGTGTGTCTCCAAGTTTATTTGAATCAATAGATGAAGAGAGGCTGATAGTTGTGAGGGTCGCGTGAATCAATACTGCAAGTGGGCGGTGTGGCGGGGAAACTAGACCCGGAGGAATTAATGACAGTAGCGGTAGAACTTCAGCAGAGCGTGCTTTACAAGCAAGTAGCGGCGGGGGACAGGCAATCAATATCGACAGCAGCAATATGTGCATTTTGGACCGTTTTTACTCGTTGTGCTTGACATTTATTTGTGCTTTGGGAGAATACCGGGTGATTTCGGTGTGTCAGTTATAGCGTCCATACGCGTTTGTCTTAGTATTGATTCTGGGTGACAAGTTTACGCGAGAGGACCAGACCAGGAGTTCTGTTTTGCTTTATTGCAAGTTCTATATATGTATACTAGTTTTGCCCTCTACGAGCCCTCCCACGCATGCACTACATACGCAAAGAACGACAGCCTACCTCCGACTTTCAGTTTATCCAACAACTTTTGGGAGACAACTACAACCGTCAGTGAAACAGATAGCCAACCTTGCCAGCGACAAGGAAAAGTGGAGGGCTCTTGCAGTCGCCCGCGTTGCAGGCGACCGATGATAATTATGACTAGTTTTGTTACCGGGCATCATGGCTTACCGAAGAAGCGCTACCTAGTGAGATATCACAATACTGCACTTACATTTACACAATGTACACATGCCCCAAAATGCACCACAAAGACTTTTAAAAATTTCGGGAAACTGTTCCAGAGTTGTTTTTCTCCAGAACAGTGCTTTAATCAGAACCATATCCAGGCACAAAACTCCAACATACACAGCAAAAAAATTACTACCAATGGTAGTGAATGCCGGTAAAGTCTGGTAAGTATTACAAGCAATCTATTTACCATCGTCGTTAACTTTAGTTACTATATTGTAAAGTCTGATACTGTTTTCAAAGTAAAAATCACATTCTTGTCTTACGATGTTTCATGATCCTCTGTCAGCTGGATTTGAAGATCTGCATGTTTGCACCTGACAGTGACCCCATTCGTCGACATTAGAGCTTCCTTGACTTTCTCCCATTCTTTCTCTCTCTGTTCATCCGATCCGCTACCCGCCATTCCGTCATACAGAAACACTGAAGAGACGCCCGCGTCCACCCTCGCCGAGTGTTTGTTGATAAACCTCTTCAACATTTCCATTATTTTCTCCTGTATGTCGGCTGTGTAGTGAATTGTGAAGAACCTGAGATCCACATAATCTTCTAGGTATTCGATATAGTCGGAGAAAGCCGAAAGACAAGTCGCTGTCGTTAGGTTTCCACCGATTCCGAACTGTCGAAGTTCTGGCATGTTCTTCAAGCTTCCGACTACGGATAAAGCGCCATCTGACGTGATTCTGTTGTAGTGGAGGTACACCTTTTGCATCTTTGTGGTCTTGGCGAAGGACTGTGCTAGCTCGCTCGCGGCATCGTCTCCAAGACTGTTACAGCCAAGGTTCAGAACTTCTAGATTCGCGATGTCTTTTATCCGGCTACCCAGGCCCACACCAGCTTTTTCAGACAACCCGCAACCACTAAACTCCACATGAAGCAAGTTTTCTAACAAACACAGTTTCGTCACCAAAGCCCTCGCTCCTGCGTCCCGTACTTTAATCCCATTGATGTTGAAACGCTCTAGGTTTGGGACATGACGTAACGTCTGCGCGATCGCCAACGCTCCTTTCCCCGTGAACTTGTTTCCGTCAACCTCCATAACTTTCAGATCCGCCATGAGGTAAAATAGTCTGCAGAGGGCTGTGATGTCTTGGTCAGTCAGTTCTCGGAACGACATGACTAAATCCGCCGTCTGAGACAAATCCGAAACTTGCATCATGTTCTGAATGCTCGGAAGTGACTGTAACTTCTGTCCAAGAGTGTTATAAAAAGACACTCTGCTCTCTCCATCCCTGAATTCACAGATCTCCTTACTGTGTTTCACACAGTGTACGACAAACTGAGTGAGCGTCGAAGGCAGCTTTCTACGCTCTTTGGACCAGTAGGAACACAGGGGGTCCCAAAAGAACTCGTCTTCCAGCAGGTTGACCACCACAAGGCGGTAGTTGTACCACGTTTCCAGCAGAGCCTCCCCTCTCTTGGGATCGTCCCAGAAGTAGTCGGCGATGTGAGCGGCCCAGTGTTCCCTGGCAGCGGGGGTTAGGTACCGGGACGATTCGTCTTCGGGTGGTTCTAAGGTAAAAAAAAATGACAAAGATTAAAAATTGGGAAGACAGAAAGTTTAGAAAGCCATCATAGTGCTGTGGAAATTTGTGTTTTTAGTAGTGTGGAACACAGCAAATATTAATACATACTACTGATATCTTAATTCTTACTCAAAAACATTCAGAAATAGTGACCAGACTCTCCAACTCAGTCCTGCTACATAATGTAACCCAACACCACAGGGTGTCTGCTACAGCACCAGTTACCATGGTGACAGTCTGGTGCAGGTCATTGACCTTATTTTTTTAAGAGGAAGAGGAAAAGGCAGAGCAAAAACAATATGTTTTCCTTCTGTGAAGATAAAAATAATTTATATCCAGTTGCAAAAATATCTATTGTTACCGGATGACATGCTAACTTTTTAACTTTCATACCTTGCGAATCATCCGTATCTTCGTCTTCTGAATCTTCCACGTCTCCGTCGTCTTCAGAATTTTCAAACCCTCCCGGCGTAATCTCTTCTCGGTCCTCCCCTCTCTGATCATCATCTTCCTCTTCGAAACCATCGTTGTAAAAACCCGTGACGTCACTGACGCTTCCCTCGCTCCCCTGCTGCTCGCGGAGTGATACAACATCCTCCATCAGTAAGACGTCCTCCCCCTCCAGTGAGGAGTCCGATGGATGTGGAACGACGGGAAGACTTGGCTTCTGTTCTAAGACATTGTTGAGACAAAAAAAGTCCGCCCAGTTAGTATCAATCTGATATCACACTAGAAGAAGGACTATAAGACAAAGAAACGCTAATTACCGTATGTCCAGAGCATAGCATACAAAACCATTTCTATCTGTTGCGGTATAAAAGAGAGCTGCTAGTGATCCTGGCCTTTGTTTTACCAATGCCTACCCACATACCGACACCACAAAATATGTCTTCTACAGCACCAGTTACCATGGTGACAGCGTCTGGCCCAAGCCATTGGCCTTATGTGTTTAGAGAAGAGGAAGAAGTAGAAGAAGAAGAAGAGGAAAAGGGAGAAACAAAGCCAAAACAATATGTTTTCCTTCTGCCAAGGTCAACACTATCACCTTCTTCATGCAGAAGATTCGCCAGATGATCACAGCCCGTCTCCTGCAGTGCCTTCCTAAACCGGTAGAAGTCGTCGTCGTCCTTTCCCTTCATGATGTCGACCAGGTCATTGACCCTCTCCTCTCGGCTGGGGCTGCTCAGTATGTAGTCTTGTTCGTCATCAGTGATGACCTGTGATGGCGGTAAACTCATAAGGTCAATGACCTGGACCAGACTTCTGTTACCATGGTAACATGGTATACTTTTGTAGAAAATCATGACCTCTGACCTCTCAGACACCTAGCATATGAAAAAAAAAAACATTTGACTAACTTGTATAATGTAGAATTGTTATCAATTGATGTTATTAACTGATTTAAATGTGTCTTTTTACTCTCCAAAACCTAGCAAATGATACTCTAGGCTAGCATTTCTATGTAATTTTGTTTTATGAGGTTATTGATTGGAAAAGTTATTTTAATGGTGTTTGTTGTATTATTATTTTATTAGATGGCGAATGTAAATAGTTGTAATGATATTTGTATTTTACAATGAATGTAAGAGGACTCCAGGAAGAGTAGTGGTTATATACAGTCACTAATTGGATGTTCCTGAAACAAACAAACAAACCTCATAGAAGAACAGTTCCTCCAGCACTGCAGTGAATGCCGGGATAGGAAGGGAGTTGACGATGACAGTTTGGTACTGGTCTAAGAGATCCAAATGTTTGAAGTCCATTGTTTGGAAACCTTGCTTTCGTGTGCCCCCTTCCTAAAGTAATAAAAAGAGAAAAGAGAAAATATGTAGTGTTATGAATTATATAATTCCTTCAATTGGGAACGGTCTACCCTAACAAACTACAGCTCTGTAGTTCCACTAGTTACAGTAGTTCCCTACTTAAACATATTCATGTATTCATATTTATGGTGACCAGCCCCTCCGACTCTGTCCTGCCACTTGCTACATTATGCAATCCAATACCACAGTAATGCAGAACTTACATGTAGGCATCGAAACCTAAGCAAGTAGGAGAATTTACAAGTTTACTGGTTGAGTGGTTGTGTATAAGAAAACCTCGGCATATAAGTGGAATGCGTATAAGTAGAATGTGGTACACATAACTTCAGAACACTGGCATTATTGTCCGGATGCAAATGGTCCGACATGAAGTGTGATATATATGCATGCCTGAACCGTTAGAATGGGAAAAGAACCGTCGACCTATATTGAACGGCACCTGAGAAAACTCGGCCGGTCTCAGTTGGTTTAACATGTAAACCACTCGAGACATCTGATCTTGTAGCGACAACATACGTCATTTCCCACATACTAGAACTTTAGCAGACCATATGGTCAGCATATTTCACTTTTTTTGTTATAAGCGCATCTGATATGGATATTTGAAATGCACATAATCATGTTCTGTTGCAAAGTAGTTGATCAACAAACAACACAGGCACATGACCCCCATGGTACACAGGTATCCCTCGCTTTTGTTGAAGCACGTATCACATGTTGACTGGCTTACAATTTTTTTAGTCTACTTGGAAGCCAAAACGTAGAACTCATACATTACGTTTTACGTGGAACGATGTTCACAGAAATTCAGTTTAGGTTCAACATTTTGAGTGAGACCTACATCAGTGCACATTTGTCGTCAACAGTGAGTTTTCATGGTCAGTGACACTTCTTTCAAAGCTTTGAAAGCACACTCACCTCACTTACACTCTGGAAACCCGGTGTACATTTTTTCTTGGGTGAGCCACAGTCTTGTCTGAAGACGACGAACTAAAAAGAAGACCTTCTACCGGACTTTTCGTTCTCCATGGGCAAACTAGGCTCCCCAAATGTCACATCTACCATAGACTAACGTTAAACATGCATGCAACCACGCCCCAGATTCTTTCTCAGTCAAGAAAGCTAGATGGTTCCGCTCTAATGCGTAAAATGGCGTCAGAAGTTTTGGATGTCACACGGCCGTGCAGTGTGGCTAAAGAAAGCATCCTTGGTCCGTGCAAGGCGTCAATAGGAGCTGTGGGGTAAACAAACAAAACATTATCAGGTTGGTCATGCGATCTGCCTCCCACAAAACAAGGTCCGGGGCACTGGGGTTTATTCTGTTATCGACGCCCATTGTGATTTTTGTTCAAACTGTTTTGATATAGTTTCAAAATACAAATTTCTAGCTGCTATTCCTGTTAAAAACCAAGAAAGTGACCACTCAATAACTGAGCGATAACTTTTTGCACACAGAACATGCAGCAGTTGTTGTTTGTTCCATTTTTATTTTATTTTAGCTGTTTTTCTTTGAATCCATATTTCGTGTTTGTAATATATATAGCTACAATTATTTTTGTGTTATACTTTTTTTAGTTTGCCCGCTCACTTAAGCTTTTTGATGTGAGTTCAGTCAACCACCATATCTGCAAACAAATGTAGGGGGATCAACTGACTGAGTATTATCTGACTGTGTTTCTAATTCTTTCAGTGGTTCATGTGTGTATCTTTTTGCATTCCCCTTAAAAAAAGCCTAAAAACCAAACTAAAAACACTTAGCCGAACCCTACATCTGCTTGGAGAATATCATCCACCTGCACACGCATAGGATCACCAGGTCCTGTAACCTTTGACCTTTAGAAATCCAATATGGCTGCCCGTCTCCTGACCAAAACTTTCCTGCTGCCCGTTCGCGGCCGTTTTGCCGCCTCTGTCGTCTCGTCTCCTGCGAGATGTCAGTCGTCAGGCCAGCCTCTGACGCAGGAAGTCGGCGAGGAGCTTTCGGACGAGGCGATTTTCTCCCACGAGCACGTAGAGCTGCGTAGAACGCTGAACAAGGTACTTACGTAAGAAGGGGGAGGGGGGCGTGTTGACAGTCTGTTGCAAGGTTTCTCTTGTTTTCAGTCTTACGAAGGGTTTATATGGAGACTAATCGCTTGCCTACAGTTTTAGGATATATCTGCTAGTCGTAGGCTGTTGCAAGGCTTCTCTTGCACGCAGTCTTAGTATGCATGGAGGTTATGATTTTTAAAAATAGCAGGGCTATCTCTTGCTTACAGCCTTTGAAGTATAATGTTACATGGCGCCAAAAAGCAGTTACTCAAGCAACTGGATATGATTTGGGAAACGGTCAGACGTTACATAAAGCCCCTAGCCATGAAGACATTTGCTTCTTTTGCCTACAGTCCTAGTATATATCCCGTACAAGAAGACTCCATGCAAAATTATAGAAGTCTTGCATCTTTCCTTCCAGATTATTGAGAATGACATCAACCCGTACGTGGATGAGTGGGAGGAGGCTAAGATGTTCCCGGCTCACAGGGTCTTTAAGAAGCTTGGAGATGCCGGCTTCTTGGGTGTTAACAGACCTCCAGGTATACAATAACTATTTCTCTATTTTAGGTATTATTAGAGGCCATTTTGTATTTGAAGTTTGGATTAAGATGATTGTTATTTAACATTACACAACATATTCCATCAAATTCACATGCTAACAAAAAAAGTAACAAGTACATGTACTATTAGTTTCTACACAATATTCAATGATAATTGTACAGTTATGATGGCTAGCCCTTTATAATAGCCCCTGGCTAGTTCGCTTCTGGCTGTATAGCATTATATAGTTTTATAAATGAATTCAAATCAAATCAAATCAAATTAAACAATAGATAGTTTATGGAGATGGTTTGAATTTACTTGTAATAATCTGTCGTGGGGAAAAAAACTCCACAGCTCTAAACACAGTTTCATACTACTAGTAAGTATACCACATTAGATCAATTCAAGAGGTAATTATACTAGGGTCAGACAATTCAAAACATATGATAAACAGTCTAATATATTCTTCTCTGTAGAGTATGGTGGCCTGGGTCTGGATTACTCCTATAATGTAGCAGTGGCTGAAGAACTGGGGAACGTCAAATGTGGAGGCATCCCCATGGCCATAGGGGTGCAGACTGACATGGCTACTCCTGCTCTGGCAAGGTAATGCTTGTGCAATTTAGGGAGTAAAACGTAGTCTGATACGCCATAGTCTTTTTGAGGGGGCAGGGGCAGTGGGTTGTTCGTAAGCTGTGTAGGGCATGGTAGCTGGTGTGTCACGCCGAAAGGTGGTTATACCGGCTATACAGATACAGATATATGTATTGGAAGGCAGAGCCCATCCCTCTCAATCCACTGACTTTTATGCTCCCAATTGAAGTCAGATGCCTTCTTTATACCTGGGTGTAACTAGCTTATATATATATATATAATAGGACACAATTTGTAGCCATGAATGGAAGGAAATGTATGACATCTTGGTCTCTAGATCTTGTTCACTCACCTAGCCACTTGGTCATTTGAGAACTGGTGTTTTAAAAATTGTTTCTATGTTGCATTTAGTTGAAACAGATGAGTTAATTTGATACCTTGGCAGATAGGTTATAAGTATGACCATAAATACATTTTTTGTGTTAATTGTTGCAGGTTTGGCAGTGATCATGTGAAGAAAGAGTTTCTGGCCCCGTCCATCGCTGGCGAGAAGGTGGCCTGTCTGGGAGTTAGTGAGGTTGGAGCAGGGTCAGATGTCAGCAGTGAGTAGGAACTTTACCTCTTAGTCTATTTCTCTCTCCCTCTTCCTCATCTCTGTCTGCCTTCCTGTCATTCTTTTATTTTCTCTTTCTTTCTTTCTTTCTTTCTTTCTTTCTTTCTTTCTTTCTTTCTTTCTTTCTTTCTCTTCTTTCTTTCTTTCTCTGTCTGTTATGTCTGCCTTTTTACGTCTTTCTCAGCCCTTGTCTTTGTTGCTGTGCATCTCTCTCCCTTTCTCTGACTCTCGCTTTCTTTGCATATCAAATAGCAAGAAAGATTAGCTGCATAAGACTAGTTTGTATGAAAGAGTTGAATCCATGTACTGGGTTTATACATCCATTGATTTTCATTGGCTGTATTGACTGTTGCCACGTAAAACAAAATAATGGCAATGGTTTCTGAACAGTTTTTGATATGATCCATACTTCCTACATTCTTAGCAGTGCAGGTAAAGTTTCCATCTTACCTGCAGTATAGGTATCCAGGAAAAGTATTTTGAGCCCGGGTAGAACTATAATACTCTACCCTCTGTACCACCAGGTATCAAGACCGTAGCTAAGAAAAGTGGAGGTGATTACATCATCAATGGGGGAAAGATGTGGACAACTAGCGGGCTGCAGGCTGACTGGATGTGTCTGTTAGCCAACACCAGCGACGGCCCTCCTCACAGAAACAAGTCACTCATCTGTCTCCCCATGGATCTTCCAGGTAACTTAGGCCTGGGAAAACCTGCTGACCCTTAAAAAATAAACAAGCCTGTAGGTTGCCCAAAATCTAATCTTTTTGAGGTCTCATAAAGACCTACACATATACATTATACAAGTATCAAAACAATTCATCCATAGTTTCTTGAGTTACTAGTATCATGCTAAACCACATAAAACATATGCCGAAGGTAATACATATATATAAAAGAGAATCCCTGTCTACCAACTCTTTATTTTTCAGGACTGAAATCAGATACACAAGTTGTTTTTTTTCCTAGGGTTAATATACATGTACTGTATACTTTTGTTTTTAGCCAATACAAGATGATGTATGGGGTTGTGTCAGTTTCAAGTTTCTTATTTTTTGTGTATCATTCCATCTTATATTTCCATCCAATTTAATTTCTTCTAGCATTCTGTCTAGTCTAAAGTTAGAACAAAAGGTTGATGCCAAGACTTTATTTAAACTCAGGATCTTTGGTTTACTACAATATTCTGCAGGGATACAAAAAGCAAAGATAGACAAGATCGGCATGCATAGCTCCGACACTGCACAGATTTTCCTGGAGGATGTCCGAGTGCCTCAGTCCTACCTCATCGGAGACGAAGGGATGGGCTTCACCTACCAAATGCTGCAGTTCCAAGAGGAAAGGCTGTGGGGCGCTGCTGCATGTAAGCATTTAAATCTGTTGCAAGAAAATGTACAAGAGTTTGTGGAGCATGCTGAATTATGTTCTAGAGCTGTATAAGAAGCTATGAGGAATGAAAACTGTTTAATAGCAAACTCCAGTCAGAATCACTGACTGAGAAAGGTGTTTAATAGGCATCGAAACATAAGCAGGTGAAAGGCATTAATGGTTGTGTAAATGGAAACTCCAATATCCTATGCTCTATAGCAACATTTTGGACAGGCATTTAAGACACATAATGTACATCAGTAAAACATGCACATAAAGTATGCAAATTATTGTGGAGAGGATTAAAGAGACTTAGCAGCTAAGAGAGGTTTGGTGACCGGGGTAGAGAAAGACATTTCTTGTGATTGTCTTTTCAGCCCTGTTGCCCCTCGATAATGTCATAAAGGAGACAGTTGAGTACACCAGACAGAGGAAGATCTTTGGACAGCCCCTCCTGAACAGCCAGGTCGTCCACTTCAAACTGGCCGAGCTGCAGGCTGAGGTGGAGTGTCTGAGATCACTTGTCTATAGAGCAACCGGTAAGGTATACAGATAAAGCATGTCAGCAGAATGTACTGTGCCTTTGCGAAACCTGTAATGTATTTTGCATAGCTCTTGGGCTTCTCGTTTAAGGGCATATTTAAGGATGAAATTCTATTTAATATCTATTTATAGTTTTTAAGTGTAGTGTTGGAATAGATATTGTCTGCAACAGGCAAATTCTGATGTATTGTTGACCACACTTTCAATATGAATACTGTGAAAAATATGAATACTGTACGTGTGAAAAATCCGTTCATGCAGGTGCAGTATATTCTGCCAACATGCTTATGAATAACATACATGTGCAAATTATAGCTTCTGCTTGACACAATTTACTGTCTGCTCAATTTGGTCTGTTTGATATTTCAGGCCACTGATTTGAAAGATATTTTTAAACACTGTTTGATGCTCTCAGTATTTATGCATTCCTCCATACATAATTTCATCTGGTTGGTGAATGATTGGATAGTAAATTTCTTTATTCTCAACCACTTTTCTAGCACGACCCAATGTTTTGATGATGGTTTGTGGTTCTAAAGAAAACATACATAATATCAAATTTCTCTATTCTCAACCTCTTGTTTAACGTTTCGATGGTTTGTGATGAAAGAACATGGCTTTGTACTATGTTTTTCAAAAATACTTCAAAAAAGTCTAAAATCTCTGATTTTTCTGTTTTATAAAGGGATGTACATTCAGGGCAAAGATGTGACGAAGCTGGCTTCCATGGCGAAGCTGAAGGGCGGCCGACTGGCGAGAGAAGTGACAGACTCCTGTCTGCAGTACTGGGGAGGGATGGGGTATACATCTGAGGTCATGGTCAGCAGAGCATTCAGGTAAATCTGTTACAATGGGAATAGTATCTCTGTGTATCTGTATCTGTATAGCCGGTATAACTGCCTTTCGACATAACACACCAGCTTCGCAGGCACACGGCACGGCGGCAGCTGGCTAATGTATATTACACCGATCGACTTGTTACACCTAACCCTTGAACATCTAACCCTAGACATTGTTTAACACTATGTAATGACAATGCCCGTACTGTACTGTACTGTGTAATACATTATCAGTACCTTTTGTAGATTATAAGAAGGTAAGAATTGTAAGAATTATATGATAGATCATATTAATTTTTTTATGATTTTAATTTTAATAAGGTTTCCTGGTCCATGTGAAGGCATTGTGTCAGGCTTGGTTTTCCAAAATTATGGTTGCCTATACTAACCCATAGTAATAAAGAATGCATGTTTAAACCTATTGTATCATTTTGAAGAAAAATCAGTATCAGTATAAGTGATTAACATAACATTTTTTTCCAATATGAGAGCCTTAGTTTCTTCTGGCAACCTTTGTTTTTGTTTTTTAATCAGGAAAATACTCATTTTTACATGGCTGTTTTGTAAAAGCTTTATGCCCGTGCTCTGCAAACATTATTAATGCTTAATCTATGGACCATAACAATGTTTTTTTTCTATTTCCAGGGATTTCAGGTTGTTTTCTATTGGGGGTGGTGCCGATGAGGTTATGATGTCCATAATTTCCAAGTACATGGGTACTCTGCCCAAACTGAAGGCAACGTAGTGCCCATCTGCTGGGTTGAATTTGCCAATTTGCAAATGACATGTAAACTAGAGAAGTAACATTTGCAAGGCAAATGCATAATGTTTACCTTCGGACATGGTCTGCTCTGTTAATTCTTACTCAAACACATTCACATACATGTACTACTAGTTTATGGTGACAGGAGCAGAGCAGACCATGAAATTGCAACATTATGTAACCCAACACCAGTCACCATGGTGACAGACATCAACAAATCATGTCATTGGTCAGGTCAGAGGTCACTGGAGAAGAAGAAGAAACTGAGCAAAAACTATGTTTTCCTTTCGGTAAACATAATTACAGACATATCTGTCAATGCTAATAACATGCAAGCAGACAAGAACAACATTAGATAACATTGATTTTTATTTCAATGCTTTATTTTAAAAGAGTGTATTTCACTGCCACAGATACTTTGACGCTATGAGTGTGGATACTATTATTTCCTTGTATGTTCTATGGTCAACTCTCAAATAATGCGTGAAGTGAACAGGAAATGTGTATATAATGTAGCATACCAAATGTCACTACAGTAGTTAAATGTCGACGACTAAGCTTGGCCGGTCATGTTGTACATAGTGAAGAACCAACCAGTATGCTTCTACTTTGGAACCCTGATACAAAGAGAAGAGTTGGACGTCCAAACATAACACTTAAAAAACTTAAAGACACTGAAACAGGCTTGGAGGACTTAGAACTTATCTCTGTGATGAATGACAAACAGTTCTGGAGATCAAACTTTGTATGCTCCACCACTTCGGAGGATGATAGATGATGATGAATGTAGCAGTAATTGTCATAACAGGGTATTTTTTTTCTCGTACTCGAAATTTACTTGTTTTTTATTACAGTTTTTGATGGGGTCTAAAAGATCTTGGTGAGCAACTAATTATATAAAGAGCTATATTACAGCTTAAGAGTTATATTACAGCTGAGTACTTTAAATACACTCTATTAAGGTGTCAACCTTATTTTGTGATTTTCCAAGCAGCGAAACATCTACATCACATAAAAGATCTTGGTGAGCAACTAAAGAGCTATATTACAGCTTATGAGTTATATTACAGCTGAATACTTAAAATACACTCTACCAAGGTGTCAACCTTATTTTGTTATTTTACAAGCAGCGAAAC